TTTTTACTAATATCATACCTTAACCTAAAATGAATACATTTTTTTTGCAATGAATAATTTATTCGTGAACTAACTCAATTTTAAGCTTCATATTTTATTTTTTAGAAAAACATTGTCTTTCAAAATATCACTTACAATTCCAAAATTATTCCATCTAATTTATCCCTCCCAAAATTTCAACCCTTCCCTCCAATTTTTCCACAATTTTCCCTCATTTTTGCTCACTACATATTCCCGCTTTCCTTTCCCACTATCGATTCCCAATTCTTCCTGCCCGTGTGAAAGGCATCGTCACCACTTTTCAACCATTCGATCTTTCTCAAAACTCATACCGACATTAACTTCAACTGAGGATGACTACTAGAGTACGGTGGAGTTCAATGCCTAGGGTTTCCAGATTACAAGATGAGGAAGATAATGACTGGATTCAGAACGGATATGAGGATACCGATGGGTCTCATTCTGTAGATGACAATGAAGAACTTGATTGTGGAAAAAGGGGTCCCAACCACGGTAGCAACGTTTGTCCAGATGAAACAGGGAGAATTCCTTTAACTGTGGGAGACAATAGGTATGTAGCTAAACATTTTTTGTTTTTTGGATTTCAGTTTGAATGCAAAGTGGTATCATTGATTTTATATGGCGTGAATTAACGTGGGAGTTAGGAAGTATATTTTGGCTTCTCATGTCCATGTTCTAGTTAATAGAACATGGTATATTTTGGCTAGACTTGTTATTGTTCTTTTTTTATTCCAGAAATTCTGTGTTTTCTTTGTGCATTTAAGTCTACATTTGCAATTTTAAAGTACCTTTGTGTTGTGGTTTAGATGGCCGACAATTTCATGGATTATTCTCAATTTCTCCAATGATTGTTAGAGAAGGAGTTTAAATTATATAGAGCAGAAAAAGGGGTCATCTGGTAGTATTTGGGACTTTCAATTAATCTCAAATATGAGTGTGGATTGTAAAATTTTCAAATTCTTGGTTGAATTTCCTTTTTCTTTGTGCTCAAGGCAATTACTCAAATAGTTGTCTATGCTCAACGTAATAATGGTTGCCAAGAAATGAAAAGTGTCGTGAAATTGGTGATTGCAATGTGGAGGTAAATTACAGATGTAGCTAGAAATAGAATGAACCATATTGCTAGAACCACTGCTTCTTTGTTTCTGTTTTTTTGTTTTGTTCTTTTCGCCGAACCCCTTCTGGACATTTTGTTATTGGTATGCTTGATTTCAATTCACTACAAAATAACATGAAAAGGTCAGAGCAATATGCTACTCATGAATCCGGTCAATATGAATAGGCAAGCATCACCAGCCATGCAACTGATTAGCCATTATTGTTATGAGCTGAAGTGAACACGTGTGGTGGACTTAGTCCCTTTTATTCAGTTTGTTTGTTGCTTATTATTTGTTGCATTTAATAAGCTATGCACTGCTAATCTTTAGGTCCAATAGGATAGTGCTGTTTCCTGAACATTTGTATTATTTGTTATTCTTTCTAGCATTGTAAGACTACTATGTATAGTCGGTGTTTTGTTCAATTAAAAAGCAGGAAATGAACAATTCAATTACTCCCTTCCATATATAGTTCTCTTTCGTTCTCTCTATTTCTTCTCTTTTAACCTGGTTCTATCCATTTTATC